AATGTGAGAGATGATGTAGCATTGCCCAATATGATTATGATACCTTGTAATACACGGTACCAAAATCTAATAGGCATTTATCATGTGAATCCCATCAAGTAGGTCCAACAATCCCATTCATGTCTCCAATTTAATTAATTTGTCAGATAAGATTAATGAAAAGAAGACGACTAGAAAATCAAGGACCAGGAAACGAAAATATATCAATTTAGAAGTGCAGTCAATCGAGCGATTCCAGCACACACAGCCACCTTCCCCTAATGTGCACCGTTGCTAATACTGACTACTTTATTTCTTGCGGTATGCAGTTTAAAAATAGTAATCTGTCGCATAAGGGATATCCAAGGGACAAAAATTAGCATTCCCTACAGTTGCTTTTGCGCATTTACGCATCCAGTTACTTTTTAAAAAAACCACACATAGGTACAGAGTTGCCCTCTCTGAATATGCAGTTATGTTCTGAGCAAAATCGGTGGTGACTCTGGATCAACAGTTGCTCGATGGAGAAAAGTGACAAACAACAAATATTTTGGTGACCAAAAAATGATATAGAAAAAAACTCGCAAAGGCGAGAGCAAATTTTGCACTCTATCTGATGAAATAGGTTTCATGTACCGAAAGACCCTTCGGTTTGAGTAGACTCAAGGTCCAGTAAAAACTTGCTACTGCTGCGGCTCCACTTTTGTCCCCGTGCATACTCGCCTTCGCGTCTATGTCACCCCTATCGTAGGTAATACCTTTGCAAATCAGAAAGAATATTGTATCAGCCGTTGAACCACCTTTGTATGCCAAGTCCTCTACTGCTCCTTTGTGCCTCTCAACTCCTAAAGCCATTAGGATACTTCAGGGTCACCGCAAAATTGAAAGTCTTAATGTAGACAGTAGCTGAATTACCCAAAGCGGCTCTACTAACAGCTGTCATGAGGGTATATGCACAAGTGCTGATCTCCTGAACCCGCATGACCACCTTGGGTGTGGTGCCTTACAATTCGCTCTGGATTCGATCCGACAATTTCGCAGGTTACGCGTCGTCACCCCTTCATCGTGTAGGCTACCCTCAAGATACTCTTCGAAGCGCCAAACACCAACAGGGCATCAGGCTTCCTCACTTTCTCGAGAAATGTTTTGATCAATTCTAGTGGCTACAGAGGGCAACATTTGGGGTACGTTAAAGTGCATATGGAGGCCATGCAGAACACCAAGAATATCATTGTACAGGGGTCGATCTTTCTTTATTCAGACAGCGTTTTTGATCTTAAACAAGGTCTCGGGATACAAGGAGTGGTCTCTGACAGCCTATGTGTTGTGTCCTTAAATGAATAAGTCCAGCTTATACACTAATTATAATGACAAAATTATCTGCCATCTCGGAATCCATGCTTTTTTAAAGACCGCTTCAAGTTTTTTACTCTGAAGTAATTTCCTTTGCACTAAAGCATTGACGAACCTTGAGTTTCTCCCCAGAAAATAGTAGAAGCAGAAAGGCTACAATTTGTAGTGTACAGGATTCTTAGCCTTAAAATTGCAGGATTATCCTACAGTGATGCATTTGGTTTACC